AAATAAATAAAAATATATATATATATATATATATATATATAATAATTAAACACTTATTCTTATTAAAATTGACACAGTTTATTACATACAATTTTTTATTTAAATATATTTTTTACTGTAATATATAAATTTTATGATTTTAATTTTTATCAAAAAAAATATTATTTTGGTTCCTATAAAAAATTATTCTATAGTTTTAATCTTTGTTGCTATTTATTAATAATGTGATAAATATTTATTTTAAAAATCAATAACTAAAATCATAAAATAAGATTTTATAGAAATTTTATTAAAAGTTTACATTTTATAAGAACTTAAAAAAAACATCAGGCACCAAAATTGAAAATTAATATTTTATGAAGATTAAAATAGACTCAAATAATTATAGGAACTAAAAATATAAAACAAGTATATTATAAAAATTAAAAATATTTTTAATTCATATTTTCTTCTCTCATAATTAATTAAATACACATAGATAAAAAAAATATTACGTATAAATAGGTATTTAGTTTTTTGGTATAAATTAAAAAAAATTTAATTTTATTTTGATAAGTTAAAATTGAAGTTTTATTGTAAAAAAAATGAAACCTTTTATTTATAATAAATTTATTTAAATTATTTTTAGATTCTTTTTAGCTATGGACTTGAAGTAATTATTTCTCATAATCTCTTCTTAGGATCAACAAGCACATGCTTATTGGTTTAAACAATCACAAATTCCTTAGAAAGAAGAAAGAAATAAAATATGAGGATGAGAAAGCTAAAGTGAAAGGAAAATTTAGAGGGAAAAATTTGAAATTTGTTCTAGGGGTTTTTATAGAGGAAAAAATTAAATAGTGAGGAGAGGCTTTTATTATGAGACACTTAAAATACTAGAAATTTGAAGACGCAGAGCAGATACATATAACGAATTTTTTTCTGAAATAATATTTTTTTTAAAAAAAATTACAAAAATGATCACTGTGCAGGATTATTTACCAAGATAGAACCATTTACTGTTCAAGCTCAGAATTCGGTTCCCTGGGAACCGAATTCTGAGCATCAAAATGTAATTTTTTTTGTTTTTTCAACTCAGAATTCGGTTCCCGGGGAACCGAATTCTGAGTTGGTTTTAAATTTTTTTTTTTTTTCGTGTATGGGGCAAATGTGGGCTGATCTGGGAAGCGGAACGGCCCGTTCCAAAAGCAGAACGGGCCGTTCTGCTTAAAGAAACAGAGTGCAAATTCTTTAAGCAGAACGGGCCGTTCTGCTTTTGGAACGGGCCGTTTCACATTCAGAATTTGCACTCTGTTTTTTTAAGCAGAACGGCCCGTTCTGCTTTTGGAACGGGCCGTTCCGCTTCCCAGATCAGCCCACATTTGCCCATACACGAAAAAAAAAAAAAAATTTAAAACCAACTCAGAATTCGGTTCCCCGGGAACCGAATTCTGAGTTGAAAAAACAAAAAAAATTACATTTTGATGCTCAGAATTCGGTTCCCCGGGAACCGAATTCTGAGCTTGAACAGTAAATGGTTCTATCTTGGTAAATAATCCTGCACAGTGATCATTCTTGTAATTTTTTTTTAAAAAAATATTATTCCAGTAAAAAATCTACATATAACAGCTAGAGCATATGATACCAACTTTCATTTTAATTTTTAACATTCTTATCACATTCTTTGCACACATAAGAAGAAAAAGTTAAGTTTGGTTCTTAGAAACTTGTCTTGTCTATTTGGACTTTTTTAAACTCATATTTTATGATATTTGAAATTTTATTTATGATGTTGAGTGTGAGTGTGGGTGTAAATCTTAAGAGTCTATTTACTATTGTTTCTATTTTCTATTTTTACCTGTTAATTACAAAATTATCACTTCATTTTTTATTTATTTCCTATTTCAAATATTTGTACAGTGCAAAATAAAAATTATATTTCAGTATTTCTTGTACAGATATTTGAAAACCAAAAACATATTAAAGTAAAGTGACAACTTTGTAATTAAAAAGCGAAAATAGAAAATAAAAACAAGAAATAAAAAGCGAGACCTTGTTTTTCAATTTATTTTTTTAAAATTACTTATTTTCAAACAGTAAAAAGAGAAAAACAAAAGAAAAAAATTGTTTTTCTATTTATTGTCCGAATCTTTTGAAAGCCAAAAATAAATTTAAAATAAGTATAATTAAGTCTTATATAATAAACACAAATTTCTATTTTACATAAGAATATTTTTAAATAATTTTCTTTAAGGAAAGTGTTTCTAAATTCTTTTTAACTTCTTATATAATTCAATTTTTATTTATTATATTTATCTAAAAATTAAATTTTGATACTTTTTCAACTTAAAATATTTGTAAAGATTATTTTAACTTCTCATCTAATTTAATTTTTTATCTATCATATTTATTTATAAATTAAATTTAATAATTTAAAATAAATTATTTATTATAAATTTAAAATATAATTTATATATTTAAAAATATCTATTTATAAAAATTAAACTATAATATCTATTTGTATATATAACTTATTATAATAAACATTTAGTCTAATCGTGCATTGCATAGACTACAATAAAAATTAAATAAAAACATAGAATGAACCCTTATAAATTTAGAGTGACAAACTAATATTAGCCATTGTTATTAACCCTTTAGAATATATTTCTAAATTAAAAAAAAATTAAACTTAAATATGTTTATCTTTCAAGTGTGTAATTTTGAAGTCATTCTATTGCTCACAAGCCATTGAACCAGCTAAGTCAGCAACACTATGATAGAGTCACCACCACTGTACCATTGCTTTGGTTTTTTCAGCATTCACAGTAAAAGTTAGAATTAGGATTTAGGAAATGACTTGAGGAGCATCCAATTGCACCAATTATTACTATTTACTAACTTATTCGGTATATGAACAGTGATCGAAATCTTGCAATAGCTTTGATGTGAGATCTGTTGACAATAGTTTCAGCAAAACAAAGTGTGTACTTTCACGTTTTCTATATCAACTAGGAAATTTGAAATTTGAGCACTGAAAAGCGATGAACTGGTTACATGCCCTTTGTATAAACCTTTATCATTGTTATGTATATATTATTAAACTTAAATAAGTTGTACAGCTATTTAATTTTGAATATATATTATTTACCATCAGGCTTATTTTATAAATTAATGTGTTATTTAAAAATATACTTAATTATTAAAATATTTTAATATAATATTAAAATAAAATATAGAATAAAACTAGGTAATATGTTTCTTTTTTATTTTTATTTTTTGCCATTAGCAATGTGATATGTATGAGGTTGTCAAGCTAAAGTTGGCCCAAACAACTTCAGACAGCATAAAGAATAAGACATTGTAATATCACTTTATAAACTTTGGCCCAAAGAATAAAAAAGAAACACGACTTTGTCATTCGGCCCTTCAAAAATCAAAATTCAGTTTAATAGTGAGATTATACACCTACTTTTTTATATAAGTACACTTCCTTTATTTTTTTTTAAATTATAAAATATTGTAGTTTTATTTTAAAAAAAATTTAATTTTATACCTCTAATTTTTTATTAGTCAAGTAGCCTCGTATAACTTAAGAGGGGGTGAATTAAGTTATCTAATTTTTCTTCACTTTTCAAATTTTTCTAACTTTTTTCTTATAAATTCAAAATCATAAACAATTTGAATGTAATGATGCAAAAACTTCACAATCAAAATTAAAAGTATAGGGAAAGAGAATTGCAAACTTGATTTTATACTGGTTCGGCCAACCTTGCCTACATCCAGTCCTTAAGTTTCCCACTTGAGATTTTTTACTATGCTTGTAACCTTTACAAGACTCAAATTCTCCAACACTTAGGAATTCCCTTTCCTTGTGTTGAGAATCACAGACCACCAAGGAGAACAACACTTTCTCCTTTACAGATCAATAGATGAAATGAATGAAG